AAAGAAACCTTTAAACTGAAAAAAAATGCCCCGCAACAGCAGAAACTACACGCTATGCTTTCCATCATTTCTATTTAGTCTCATTTTTTGATATATTCATGCCATTAAGTCAAACACTTTTAAATCTGGCTTACTCTTAACTTATTTGGTAAACACTTAATCACCTCAACTGCAATGGGATTTTCATGCTGATATTTCAGCTTGTTATGTAAGCATTTTTTTTACTCAGACATTATGTCTGCAATAGTCATTATGTCCATATTTTCCCCCTAACACAAACTTCCTCCAGCACCTACAATCTGTTATCCCATCAAAATATTTTATTCTTCTGTGACTTTCTAAGTATTAGTATATGGTAGAGTTATATAGTACATTAAGAGCATACAGCTAAGCTGAACAGCATAGCCTCCAAACTCTCCCATCACTAAAAATTGAAGACAGGTCACCATTTACAATGAGGCTTTAGTTATACTCTAAGCAGTTGATCCACTATTGTCTCCTAAATTCATCTAACCAAGTCCTTTGCTTTGGAAAATATCTTCCAAAGAGTCATTGCACCTTCATTCTCTTTTCTTCTTCCCCCTCCCTTTTTTTTTTAAGCTACATTATGGCAGGCCTGGGTAAAATACAGTCACACAGACATCAATTTTATTTCCCAAGCTCACAGGAGCGGGGCAAGCACTGTGTCAGTCAGCAGCRTGTAGGTGAATGGCGCCATCTACACTTCAAACATTCAACCTGAGTAAATGTTTCAGCTTGTTTTCCCATATCTTGATGGTTTAGTTTTATGGGGATGTAATCACCAGACCTGCACTTCAGGCTCTACCACACATCAGTTCCCAGAAAAGCAAACATACAAATAAAGAACTGGATATTTACCTTTTTAACAAAGTCCACCTCGCAGAACTCCTGAAGAATCCCCAAACACACATTGCAAACCTTCACAGCTGAGCTCTCCAAAGCAGTATTATCTTCATTAACCAAAGGAATCTCCTTGAGTACTCCATTCTCGTTCAGATCATCAGGCTGCTCTTCTGTGTTTTCAAGTCTGATTCTCTTACAGGGTGGATCAGCTACTTCAATACAGACTGTATCCTCTTTTTCTGGATTTTTTTTCAGAAATTCCTTCAACTCCTTCATCAAATCCTAGCATAAAAGACAAATACCACTGCTGCTGATTTTTCTTCTTTCCTTCAATGCTGTAGCAAGCTTATAGCACATTCTAAGCGGTAGTGTTAACCATTCCRGTAGAGCCTTAGTGTAATTAAAAACTTGCAATTTATACCCAAAAACATCCACACAATTTAAAAAGCACCAAGTTGCATTTCTGCCAAAATGTTACCCAGATAAATTTATCTTTACTGAACAGACTTCTTTGTATCATCCAATAAGACTAGAAGTATCTAATATTCCTCACCTACAGAAATGCATTTATCTTTGGACCCATCACTAATCAATGAAAACTAAATGCAAATTAAAGGGTGTGCTGGTGAAGACAGGGAAGAATTACCTGCATCTGCATATCTCCGAATTTTAGGAACTATGTTAAAGTTAAAATGCAGTTCAGAAAGAACTGTTACTGTGTTGCTGCACACAGGAAAAGTGGATAAAGCCACAAAATAAWAGCAAATGGCATACAAGTCTGAAATGATTGATAGAAAAAAGAAAAGTATAAGGAAGAAAGCTATGCAAGATGAATTCCAGAGTCTGAACTTGAGTAACAGTAGAATAGCTCAGGACAGACACCTTCAAATGCAAGCATAACAACAAGATGTATACACATTAGACCAAGTAAAGGGAGATATTTACTTAACATCAAATAAACTGAGGTTTATATATCTCATTAAACAATGAGAGAGGTCTTGGGGGAAAAAATGGAGGAGGAATAGATAGATAAACACAAGAACAGGAACATCAGGTAGAACAACAAGGGCAAGAATGACGGTGCACACTTAGGAAAAGGCTGATAATACCGAATTCCAGCAGTAACTTTACTTAAAAGAGATGTGTGCAATAATACATAAAATAACTGTTTTGAATGATTAAAAAAGGAAAACTGGCCATTAACTTATGCTCAACAATTCTTAATTACAGCACCCTAATCAGTTCTACTGAAAGAGGCAATATGAGGTTAAACTTTTTGTGCACATATGGTTCCTCCTCTGCCTCAGCTACACTGACCCAATGTTCCTTTGCTCCTTATTATACTAAAGGGGAAAACACAGAAAACTGTCATAGCTAATCTGGCTCCAAAGTGATAGAGCCATTCTGCGAAGCAGCTAAAATGCCCTGTTTTCTGCTATTTCCAGGAAATACTCAGCAACTTTCACAGTCAAACTTACCTACAACAGTTAACCTACAACAATTGTTATATTCTGCCATTCCTGTAATTACTCAATAAAATTGCACCATGTAAGTAGCAGCCATTTTTTTGGGACTCATTTTGCAAAGCATTATTCTCCCAAGCAAAGAGCCCAATAATACAATGTCCTTCTAAACCAAGTAAGTGCAAAGAACACTGCATTCATGTTCACATAGTTTAATTAGGAAGACAAAGAAGAAACCTTGTATGGACGTTTATAAGGTGCCTGTGATCCCATGCAGCAGAACCTGAAAATACACCGTGGGCAAGTACCCGTACTCAATAACAGCTGAACAATAGGTCTGTCCTTTTCTGTTAGCGAAGACATACTGGAWAATTCTAAGAAAATAAAAGGAAAAGAAAGCAATCTTAGAATTAACATAATTTTAAAAAATGGACTCACTTAACTAAACAGCACTTAGATTTTTCTTCTCTTTTCGTCCTCTGGAAAAAGTTTAAGACACATATCTGTCACATATCTGTCTTAAAGACACAACCAATTGGGAGGACCAATCCCAAAAGATACTAACCCCCATGAGGTACTCACTGGGCACCAGTGAAACATGATGGGGCATATAGGAATAACCAGAGTTGTTAAGAGGAAGGGTTCCATTAGTCGACTGTCTCCAACAGCGAGCAGAAATAAATGCCACTGGACGATCAAAAGCAGAGCAAGTAGGTGCTGCACCTTTGTTAAGTCCAGTCTGCTTGAAATGTTTTGCTTCAGCAGCATCCTTTGACGAGGAATTCCACAGGTTTACTACCTACTGAAGGGAGAATCACCTGCTTTTGTTTAGGCTTAGTTTCTCTGAGCAACATTTGACACCCGCTAGTTGTTGCATATCAGGAGATAGTAGGGAGGCCGCGTATCCCTGCCCTCCCATGCCGCTCGCACTCCGGTGTCCGCCAGCGCCCTGTACCAGGACGGAGCTCCCTGCATGGCCCTTATCATCAGTCCCTTCCAAACCCTCCTCAGMACGGGCAAACCTAACTTAATGCACTTTCTCCTGAATACGGATTATTCAAGACTAACTGTAAGGACTACTAGAGAACGTTAAGCTGGTACTACTTTTTAAGATTTAATTTTTTTTTACTTAATTGAAAGTTGAATCGTCTTGTCACAACGTTTCTAGCTACATCCACTTGAACCAAGGCATACTAAAACAAAAARGGGGGACGGGAGCGTCAAGGCCGTGTCTGGAACACACGCGCGGGCTTTTTTTGAAGCCCTTTCCCCGCCGCGCGCAACGGCCGCCACCCCCACGCACGCAACTGCCCGGATTTCACGCGTTTTCTGCGGCCGCCGAAAGGCGCGCGAGGAGCCGCCACGGCACAAGCGCCGCCTCGCCCGCACCTCAGGGCCTCGCCCGCCTCTCCGCACGCCGCGACCGTTAGGACCGTTAAGACCGTTAGAGTCGGTGTAGGGGCGGGGGAGCCGGGACCCCCGCGCGGCGGAGCGGCGCTCACCTCGCGGCGCAGCCGGCGCAGGCGCAGGTAGCCGCCAGGCCGAGGGCATCGAGCCGCGCTCGGCGGCGAGCCCTCCTTGCCCCGCCTGGGGGCCGGGCGGTGGATGGTTCGGCGCTCGCACGCGGCGCCTGCCGGGGCGGAGCGCGGCGCGCAGCGCGGCGGAGATGGCGTCGCAGCCGCCGCCGCCCAAGCCCTGGGAGAACCGGCGGCTCGCGGGCCCCGTGGCGCCCGCCTTCCAGTGAGTGTCTGCGCCGCCGCCCCGGGCCCTCTGCCGCCCCTTCGCCTGCCCGCGCGCGGCCCTCGCGCCTCGGCCGCGGCGGCTCAAAGGTCGCGGCCCGCGGGCGGCGCCTCGGGAGCGGGGCGAAACGTTCGGCTGCTGGCGGGGGTTCGGCCTCGTTGGCTCTCCGTGAGGCAGCGACAGCTGCGGAGCCGCCTCGCGCGGCTCGAACACCGGCCGTGGTGCTTACAGAGCCCTGCCGCAAGGCGTGGAGAAAGTAACGTGGGCTTATGGGCATGGAAAGGGGTAAAAGTTCATTAAAAAAAAAAAAAAAAAACTGTGCCAAAGTTTCGTTTTCTGCTAACTAATAATAGTCATTAATTAATTCCCAGTTGCACCCTATAAAAATAGTTAGATAGTTTGGGAAGAGGGGGTAATCAGAGGACCCAGAATGCATCCAGGTGTTGTTTTATAATTGCTTAGATTCTCGTTTATGCCACACATCCCTTTCCCTAAGGCTGGGCTCAGAGGAGGCCCTGGTGTACAGCGGGTTTGTTGCAGGGAAAAGGCAAAAACCAGTACTGGAAATAACACAGGTTTTGCATTGCTGTATTTATAAATACTCTTGGTAGATCATAAGTGAAGCTCTTGTGCACAGAGAAGTCTCTTGGGTGTTATAGCATCAATTTTGAATCCAAATGCAGCGTTTCATACCTTTTTCATCGGTGCAATGAATAGCTTTAACGGTTTTTTTTTTCATGGGTATATGTCAGGTAAGCTGTGGTTCCACCTGGACACCGACTGTCTTATGGTCCTTTTTTTTCTGAAAGACCTGAATTTCCTATCCAAAACCGACTTTGCACAAACATGATGCAACACATACTGTGCATTCAGCTCTTGGGCTCCCCGACTTATTAGCATGCACTACCTTGTTACAGAGCTTATCAAGAACTCTGGGAAAATTAAAATTATTTGAGTACTGATCCCGGTTGTTTGGATTTGTGCAGGTCTCCTGACTTGGGTGACAGCCTGCCGACGAGGCCAGGACAGCCCCCCGTGGCACGAATACCTCCGCCAATTCTGCCAAGACCATCGCAGCAGACGGGGAGCAGCAGCCTGAGCACTTTCAGGCCAGCATACAGCAGTTCCTTTTCTCCAGGCTACGGCTCGTAYGGAAACTCTTTCTATGGAAGCTACAGTCCCTACAGTTACGGCTACGGTGGCTTGGGTTATAACCGCTTTCGCACGGATGATATCCCTCCCAGCAGGTTTGTTCAGCAGGCCGAAGAGAGCAGCAGAGGTGCCTTTCAGTCCATCGAGAGCATCGTGCACGCGTTCGCCTCGGTCAGCATGATGATGGATGCTACGTTTTCAGCTGTGTACAACAGTTTCAGAGCTGTGCTGGATGTAGCCAATCACTTCTCCCGCCTCAAAATACACTTCACAAAGGTGTTCTCAGCTTTTGCTTTAGTGAGGACTATAAGATATCTCTACCAGCGYCTACAGCGGTTACTAGGTCTACGGAAGAGCTCTGAGAATGAAGATTTGTGGGCTGAGAGTGAGGGGACGGTGGCTCGTGCTGGCATTGAAGACAAGGCAGCCAGCTCTGCAAAATCCTGGCCTATTTTCTTGTTCTTTGCTGTTATACTGGGCGGTCCCTATCTGATTTGGAAACTGCTTTCTACRTACAGCGATGAAGAAACAGGTAAAAATGATCAGCAGCGTGAGAGTTGAGAGTGTGGAAAACACTGTGTTCAGCATATTATCCCATGAATWGCTATTAGTCTTATATTACAATGATAAAATTTAATTGATAGCTAGGATGTASTTTCACAGAATGCTTTCTGTGATTCCAAAGAATGCTTCCCTATGATTCTGTGCTGTTTCCTTTCTATTAGTTGTGGCAATTTCCCAGATTAGCATTGATGGGACTGGGAACTGCKTGGGGAAAAAATATATTCATTGGATTGACTGGCCAAATTCCTGTTTAGTGTTTTACTCCTTTCAGTTGTCTGTTAGAGAGGTTAAGCTGTTTGTTGTTGTTTTTGGAAACAGTATCTASTAACTGGGCAAGTGGAGAAGATGATCATGTTGTTGGAAGAGCAGAGTATGACTTCAATGCTCTTTCAGAAGAAGAAATTTCTTTCCGTGCTGGTGACATGCTAAAATTGGCACCCAAAGGTAAATGTTTAACTTTATATTTATTTTCTAATTGTATGAGAAGTCACTTACGTTGTTCAGGTTAGAGAGAGAGAAAAAAAAAAAAATTACTCCTCATTCCTACCAGTTTTTAGGTGTGTATTTTAATAAAACTTGTTGAGCAGTTCTGTTCAATTTCTCTAAAATATAAACAACCTAGTAATTTGTTTAGGGGGTGTTCTATGTTTATCCTTGCAGTTAACGTCATTGCACACACTGCACAACTGTTCAAATGCTTAGGATCTTGTAATACTGTGTTATCATGAATATCAGAAAAACTTCAGAACACCTCACAGTGCAATTCGTAGGGATTCTGTTATGAAACAATTCAGACAGGCCTTTTACAACAAAGTTATTTTGTGCGTGTGTGATTCTGTGATTTGGTGTGCCATCTATTTGCTGATGTATTTGTGATCCAACTGAAATGTATCTTGCATTGTTTTTGTAACTTAATCTTTGTGTTTTCTTCTTCAGAACAACAACCCAAAATCCGTGGTTGGCTTTTGGCTAGTTATGATGGCCAAACAACAGGACTTGTGCCAGCTAATTACATCAAAATACTGGGCAAAAGGAGAGGTAGGAAAACAGTGGACCTGGAAAAGGTTGCAGAGCAACAGTCAGTTTTTACCAACACATCCATTAAAGGATCCCCTGCTCCTGTGGCTTTAGGGGAGCAGGAAGCTGCTTTTGAATCTGTTTTTGCTGAAACTAATAAAGTTCCTGTTGCATCTGATCCTACTGCGATCAGTGGAAAAAAACAGGAACTTTAATGCACTTTGATCAGCTTGGTAACAGAGCAATGTTTTATTGATGAAACTCTGGTATGTTGAAAATCTGTGTGGTAGTGGAACACTGATGGGTCTGTACTAGTTACTGCTGCTACTGGCTGGTGAAAGGACGAAGAAATGATTGATCAAATTTATAATATTTATTTTTGATTCACCTGAAGCTGTACGTTAGTGACACTACCCAATCAACTAGCAGCAATTACAAGCTCAAGGAGTGCTGAGACATTYGTAACAAAATAAATTAAAATAAAAAAGAGATTGGCAGCCTGCTATTATAAAGCAGACAAACTGGTAATGAACTGCAGAGATTAATTGTAAGCCTTCATCAGAATGTAAGCCTAACAAAAGKCCCCTCTAAAAGATAGGCAAAGGTAAAACAGATTTCTGTAAGAGTTCCTCCAAAATTCAAGGCTGAGGACCCTAAATTAGTAATTGTACAATATTTTTCCTCAAGAAGAGGAAGAATTTTAAGTGATTTAGGTGACACAATCAAATTATTAAAAGCTCTCAGTGGCTTGCTTTGRTAAGAAGTAGAGCTTCTGTTATAAAGACCTTCACTCTTTTTTTTTATTAAAAAAGTGACTTTTTCTTGTGAGAAGGAGAAGGCTTGGAGAAGAGTACAAATTGCAAGAGAAAAGCAGGGAAGCTTCAACAGTAGGTCTAACCATCCACTTTATTAAAAGCACATTACAGCAAAGTGCATCCTGTATAATGCACTTTCTAATAAATGCACTTTCCAAGCATTTATTAATTGTTGCTCCCTTTGTGACCGGTAAACTTTGCATCATTCTAGCCATGCATTATAGCTTGTTAACTGCCCATCAATAGCCTATCAACTGCCATTGTGCCATTTTTCTTCTGTTCTTTGTTTTCTTCTGAATGGCAAAAGATCTAACCAGTGCAGAAAGCAGTGCATTGGAACGGTGGGTTTTAAAGCCATTGAGGGGTAAAAAAAAAAAAAAAGTTTTTGGTTTAATTGTTTCAGTTAGCTAATTTCTTGGGGGTAACTCTTTATGCTGCTTTTCAGGTGGTAAATTTTGTATCTGCCTGTAAAACTTGATGGCTCTGGTATATCAAACGCCATAAAAGCATCAAGACTTCAAAGTATTTAGTATTTTCTTCATACTGGTATTTGAGAGTTCTGTTTTGGAATACTGTTTTTTAGTGAAGCAGAAATTAGATTTTTTTTCATTATGAAATGTGTATAACATGTTGAGCTGCTGAGGGTTAAAGCAATGGATAAAATAACTAAAGCTTGTCTGAATCATTAAAACATCTTTCTATTTTAAAGGTACTCGAAAGTGTTAGTCTGAGGAGCACATACAAATTTGTATGTATAAGATGTGTCTGTAATTGATCCAGTAGTTTAAACTGGACTGTTCCTGCAGAAATCTTCAACATCTACTATGTGCTAGCAGAGCTTTCAATTTTTCCGTCTTAMCTGCATTTGCCATCCTTGAGATCTTAAAATTCTATTCACCACAAGAAAACTCTGAGAAGAAAAAGATTATGAAAGAAAAAAACTAGTTTTGTAAAGTAACCGCTGACTTCTTGCTGTTATTCATACTTAGAGCCAAGAATTTAATGGTTTTGCTCAGGTCTTGATTTTAGATGATTGTTAGCTCCTCATATGCAAATCAAAAGGGAAGAGTAATTTGAAGGACAAACAATGAACTTGGAGCTAGTTTTAAACAGCACAAGTTTCTGAGACATTTTCCCATGCACTAGGGCATTGAAGATTATCTACATTTGGAAATGACTTCTGTTGAAATGAAAAGCAAATGAACCTGAAATATACTATATAKAGAGAAAATTGGAGGGATTGATATCAAATAGTTTCTGCTTACAATGTATATTCATGGAGGAAATAATTTTACTGTTGTGAGAATTAATGGAGTATTAACCTCCTTGTGCCACTGAAATTTTTCAATTAGAAGAAAGGTCTTTTTAAAAAATAAAATAAAACATAAACTTTGGAAAGTGTCCATTAGACTTACTTTTTTTTTTTTTTTCCTGAGAATAAGTTGGGAAGATACTTCTATGATGTTTGTTAAAATCTTCAGGTTTTTGCCAGATTTTAGAAAGAAGTTTAACTTTCACATTTCAGGTCATCATATTTTGAAAACTATTCTCCATATAGAAAAAATAGGTTATTATCCATGTAGATAAATAGGAATTTATCTGACTTGCCTTTATAGAAGCTTGATTTAGTGTCCCAGTTGCTGATAACTATATCTATTGAATCTTGGGAAGAACTTTAATTCTTGCAATTTTGTGATTAATTTAGCAGGAAAAGAAGGCTTTGAGGAAAGTAATTCATTCAACTCTCAGTTGTGTTGACTGCATAGGATATTAAAGTAAAATACTGTGTTTTAGCATTCCTTTTTCATGTATAGTCAGGAAAAATTGCAAGTGCTTTTATTTCATTGTATACATTTCTGCCTCTGTATCAGGCTACAAAAAAAAATTGTCTAAACGAATCCTGATTGAAAGTGGGCAGCTGTTTGACAGGCTGCTCAAGGTTTGCACAACTTCACAAAGGTGAGAAGACTCAAAGGAGCAAGTGTGACTCAACAGGAGAATGTGCAAGAGGAGATTAGAAAAGAGATGCTAAACTTTGCATTAGACAGTTGACTTTTTTTTAACCTATACTTTGAAAAGTGAACTTTGTGTTATTATCTGAAGGTATTTATGTATCTGTAACAGACCTGAAATTGTTTACTTTGATAGTTGATTATCTGAACCTTCAGTTAGTCTTACTTTTTGAATCTTATTGTAATATCCCAAACTTTTTTTCTTTTTTTTTTTTGTTGCTTGGATATTGTCTGAACCAATGACAGATCCAATTTTGATAAACTCTCTGGGTGTTTGCAGTTGATGTGTACATAATCAAAAGCTTCACTTAGGTTTTGGAGTAATAAATTGGAAAATATTCCTATTTAGTAGAATTAAAACTTGTTCGCATCCGCAGCACAGGTTCAAAGCCTATTTCTGTGGAAGTGGACTGCATCTGAGTTGATAGGATTGTTTTGACAATTTAGTAATCTCAGTTAAGCTTGCTAGTCAGGCATATACAGGAAAAAAAAGGTGTCTTACAGTCATCTGTTTGCAGTGAAAGGTTTCTGGAAGAGACATAAACTCAGAAATAATGACTTTCCCAAAAGTCCTTAGACTTTGTAGAAATACTCGTCAATCAGGAAGGGTAGTGGAACTGCAATAGATAATATAAAATCATTCTTGTATAAATAGCTAGTTTTATTTTTGTTTTATCCTTACGGATGTGGCTGTGTGATGGGATTTGCCCACATTTTTTGGCCTGAGATGAGCGGAAGTGACTGCATGTGGACACAGGTGGTGATAGGCTTTTTTCCCCTTCCGTCTAGGCCTGGTTCTGCAGAATGGTTTGAAGTGGACTGGGGATGACCTTGCTGGTCTCCTCAGTTCTGTGGGCAGTACAAATACAGCCTTTAAGCAACTTGGATAATCTCTCCTCCTCCTCCTCCAAAAAAAAATGTATTTGCATAACTGGTTTAACAAGTGAGATAGGTGAAATGTCAGTGCAATGCAGCCCCATATAGTTTTTATTGCTACTTTGAAATACTAAGCTTCCCTAAATTTCAACAAAACCTTGAAGACTTGAAAAAATGAGAAGTTCATTTATGCTATCAGGGATTTTTTTTTAAATGAAAATCTTTAAAATTTAAAGAGCTAGTTCTGTCATATTAGCAGTAACGAACATGCTCTCTAAAGTATCAAATGAGTAAAACTTCAGTTTTCTTCAGTATTGCCAAGGATATCTTTTGAAAGAGCTCAACCTCTGCCTTCCAGCATAAGTGTTTTTATTTCCCTGACACAGCATCAAGCTTGCACTGATAATGTATGATATAATATATCAATTTCTCAGAGGTAGCGCATTCTGTGGATTGCTGTGAGGCAGTACAGAATCATGGGCATCTTCTGTTTTAACTGAAATCCAAAGAAATTTTTCTTACCGATTTTAAAGAATTCAAAGTCCTTTTACATACATTTACATTTCTGAGCTTGCTCTTTTTTTTTTTTTTTTTTATTCCGTCCCATGAAGATATTAATCTACTTTTGTTTGTTTTTAAGGAAACAGTTAAAATCTGAAAAGCCATAAGAGAGATGTTATAGATAGGAAAAGTAAACTTGGGATGAACTTTAGCCGGCACAAGCAGTTTCCAAGTGTTTTTAAAATGTTCTACCAGATTGATGCAATAGTACGTGAACCAAAGGGACAAACCTACACTGGATGAAGAAGTAAGACGGGATCTACCTGTGCCCTTGCAGGGTAACTGGGTCTTGAGAAAGGTGTTTCACATTCCTCCTAGCAGCTCATCCTGTTCCGAGGGGTTTGCYCTGCAAGTCACCTTTCTCAATTACAGGTTATGATGTTTTCCTAATTACACAAAACTCATCAAATATTTATATTCAAATCAAGAAGTCAAAGCCGGCAAAGAGCTGAAGTTAAAGCACTTAACRTCCTCTTTGTTAGTCGTTTTATAATTCGTTCTTAATCACATAAACACTTTATTGTTTAACCAACCTGCCCTGCTCCTGCAATTGCCATAAGATTAATGGGCATATCTGACCTGTTGTTAGGGTGATAAATTAAATTGTAGTCCTTGGATACTAGATTTGCTTTTTTTTTTTTTTTTTTTTT